AGTGGGGCAATGTTATGGAGGTGTGGGAAGGCAGAGCGGGTCATGGCACAGATATGGGGAGAAAGGACAGTTGAGGGTAGAACAAGACCCCCAGGTTCCTGACTGGCCTGGTGAGGTGGAGAATGCAACCATGGATGCTGATGCTGCCAGTGCCTGAGGTGTGGAGACGCTGGTGTGAGCCAATCAGGAGGGCCTCAGTCTTGCTGACATTCAGCTGTAGAAAGTTGGCTCTCATCCAGGACTTGATGTCTGACAGACAGTCTGTCAGGATGTCAGTTGTCCTGGAATCAAGGGTAGAGGCAGAGAGATAGAGTTGGGTGTCATCCGCGTACATGTAGAAGTTGACCCCATGTCTATGGATGATATCACCAAGAGGGAGCACGTAGATGTTGAAGATGAGGGGACCAAGGACAGACCCCCGAGGATCACCGCATGAGACTGGTGAAGGCTCGAAGGCCCATCTGATCTCATACTTTCAGTTACCAAGCTTACCATCTTCCCATTACAGCATCAGGTTTTTTATTGAGAGAAGCCCATGGTCTCTACATTCAACAACAACAAATTACATTTTATAGTGCCTTTCAACTCGGGAGTATGTCCACACCCTCCAGGTAACCCTTTCCAACTGCTTTATTTTTGATCAGCTGGGTGTCTGACACGTGGAAAAAATCATCACAATGCTTAAGGGTATCCAAACCAGACTGATAGTTCCACATGTGTATGCAACCTACATGGAAATGTGTGTCTAGAACAGAATGCATCCTCTCTCCCAGTAGGAATGCACCCTGCTTACCTATTCCGGAGAGCATTAGGTACAGTTCAATGAGAGCTGAGGTTTGGGAGACCCCATAGTTTGTCACTGAGCTGTTGATTATCCTCTGTACGAAGAAATTGCTCTTTGTATCACTGAACTGGTGCCCTCTTGTCCCGCTGCCTCAGCACATCTAAAAATATTTTTCTGGCTCTACTTTCCAAATCCCATTTCACATCTATTATGGATCTTTATAAAGTCTTCTCTTAGTTCTTATTGTTACTTGTAACACAAATGTTCCCACACATCCCTCTCTTTCTCTTCACATGAATATATTTAAGTAATGGCCTTCATACTCATTCTCTATCAAACTAAACCTTGCATCTCTCTTTGCTCTCAGTGCTTGTCTCTTCTTTGTAACTTAGTATATTGGTGTCAGCCTAGCTCATTTGGTAGCACTTTTGCCTCTGAGTCAGAAGATGGAAGATGCACATCTTCTGTTCTGAGCTGACACTCCAATGGCTTTCTAAACTGAGGCTCTGTTTGCCTGTTCAGGTGGATGTTAAAGATCCCATTGGCACTATCCGAAAAAAGAAAGAAGTTTCTCCCAGTATCCTGGCCAACAATCCTCCAGATAAAATTGGTCATTCACTTCATGGCTGTTTGTGGACAAATTCGGTACTATATTTGCCTACAAAATAAGCAGTCTCCATACTTTTATCGTAAATCCTATGTCGTGCTTTGAGGCATCTCAACAAAATTATACAGTACTATGCAAGGATTATTATTACTATATATCTTTATTCACCCCACTTGTGATACCATCCATTACTTTGCAGAGTTTTGCATGATTTTCTTCCAAACTGCCTTACGAATCTGAATTGGTCCTCTGGTAGCAATGTTGGACATAGTCCTGTCGATATTGTGAGCACGATATTTTGTACCATTTTCACTCTGGAGTTACCTTGAAGTCCACCATGAGCAGAACAGAAAATATCAGAATTTGCTTTAACAAAACCTTTGCCGTCTTCATTTGTGCCACTTGTGTATGTTGAAAAATAAACTTTTTGAAGGGATGTGTATTTAATGAAGTGTTGTGTTATTTTTGTGGTTTTCAAATACTATTCCCTAAGCTGTCAAAAGGATATGCAACAAATGCATGTGAGGAATACTTTTAACAAAACAAATGTTTTCATTGCCTGAGACAATGTGGGTATTGAAAATATATCCTCATGATCTTGACATTTACAGCTGAGTTGCTAACTCCGTTAGGAATTGCAGTAGCAAGTAATCTTACATCATAACTTTGATGCTTCAGTCTCAAGGGGTAATGCAACATCTCTTGATGTTCAGGCACGCGTTCTGAATTTTATGGAATTACAAAGTAGTGAAATATTTCTTAAGAAAAATCTGCTTCCGATTACCTGAGGCATGAACAGTTGCAACACAGAGGATACTTGGGAATTTCTTAAGCAAAATACTTTAATTGAAGGGCATTAATTAAAATAATAATGTACTTTATGTACAGGTAGTTGTCTTTTTATTTGGAATATTGTGTTAACGTAAGAGGTTAACTGACTCAGTTGGTAGCACTCTTGCCTTTGAGTCAAAGGTTGAATCCCCACGTTGGGACTTTGAAATCAGTCTAAGATGATTCTACAAAGCAGTGCTGGCGAAGCACTGCATAGTTAGGAATCCTGTCCTTTGGATTAGACTTTAAATCAAGATCCTGTCTGGCCTGTTCAGGTGGACAGGCTGTACTGTATAATGTCAAAATATTGCAAAACACTTCACCAGTATTTACTATTAAGTATTGAGATTGTTTTTGTAGGTAAACATAGCATCCACAAACAACCCTGAGGTCAATGCCCAAGTGGAGAATCTGGCTAATTGTTGGCCAGAATACAGAGAAAAACTCTTTTTAACAATAGTCCTGGGATAATGTCCTGGGTTCTTTAACAACAACATTACATTTGTATAGCACCTTTCACGTCAGGAGGACGTCCTAAGGCGCTGGACAGCGTACAGCATTTCAGACCTGAGCTGGACTCAGGTGGGGGGAGAAGGGAGGGGGTGGCTGATGGCATGGTCAAAGAGGAGGGCCTTGAAGCGGGATGTGAAGGAGGCTAAGGAGGGGGCGAGGCAGTGTAATTGGGGGATGGAATTCCAGAGGTTGGGGGCAGAGTGGCTGAAGGCTCTCCCGCCAATGATGAGCGGGTTGGTCAGGGACGTGGAGCAGGCCGGAGCCGGCTGAACAGAGGGAGCGGGCGGGTTGGTAGGGGATAAGGAGGTCGGACAGGTAGGGTGGGCGAGGCCATGGAGGGCTTTGTATGTGAGGACCAGGATCTTGAACTGAATCCTCTGAAGGATAGGGAGCCAGTGGAGTCGGGCGAGAATGGGGGAGATGGGGTCACAGAGTTTGGTGCGGGAGAGGACACGGGCTGCAGAGTTCTGGATTATCTGCAGCCTGTGGAGGGAGGAGTTGGGAAGGCCAACAAGCAGGGGTTTGCATAGTCGAGCCTGGAGGTGATGAAGGCGTGAACAAGAGTTTCAGCGGCCTGAGGGGTGAGGTAGTGGCGGAGTCAGGCGATGTTACGGAGGTGAGGGAAGGCAGAGCGGGTCATGACTTGGATGTGGGAAAGAAAAGACAGTTGAGGGTCGAACAAGACACCTAGGTTCCTGACTGGCTTGTTGGGTTGAAGTATGCAACCATGGAGGTTGATGCTGCCAGAGCCTGAGAGGCAGAGGCGCTGGCGCGAGCCAATGAGGAGGGCCTAAGATACCTGACCAGACAGAAGGCACCTCAGTTTAATATAATGTCCAAAGGACAGCACCTCTGACAAAGCAGTAGTCTCCCAGACTATACTGGTGTCAGCCTGAATGCTGAGCTCAAATCCCAATATAAGGAACAAAGATCATCATATCAGTGTGTCACTGCGAGTTAGATCATCTGTACACAAATGTTCATCTGACTATCAATGTTTTCATGTGAAGGCTGGTCCTTTAAAATAATGTTATTTTGAAGTTGAAAAGGCTACAATCAAAAGCTGTGGCATGTTTTTCAGGAAATGTATAATCGTGAAAGCTGTTGGCAAATTAGCCGTCACCTACAGATACACTGTACACAATACACTTTACAGTAAATCTTGTGAAGAGCTTTTAGATGTTTTGAAAGCAAGGTACCACATTATTATTAATAATAATCCTTGCATTTGATGTAGCGATTCACAGGATTTACTGTGAATACATTGCCTATCACTGTGAATGCTGATCATTCTCTTTTATAATATGTTCTCATCATCCATGATATCCTTGTAATTTGTACGTTAACATCTGAATTCACCGATTTAATGTAAGGAATGCAGCTTTGCATCTCCTGTGTAGGTGAATGCGACCGCCAATTCGTTTCCTTCTCTTTCCAAATAGCGCCATGGGATCTTTTTTGCCCCAAAAATACAGTCACTCCACTTTACAGAATATTCTGCGAAGCGCTTTGAGACGTCTCAACGATGTGAGAAGGCGCTATATCAACTGCGAGGATTATTATTCCTTAACATCTTTAAGATCTTTGCCTCGGGGGAAGCAGGTCCCCCCCCAGCACGGCGCTGGACGGCAAGATCCTCAGACTCGTTTCCAAATTCCTGCGTGCCCTGGCACCTCCCTACCTCTCCGACCTGCCTACCCCACAGCCCACCACCCTCCGCCTCCCTCCGCTCGGCAGGCTCCGGCCGCCTGCCTTTCCCTCCCTTCCACTCCGCGCTTTCAGCCACTACGCCCTGGAACACTCTTCCTTTTCTCCCTCCGCCTCAGCCCCTTCCTTCCCCATCTTCAGATCGCGCCGCACGGCGTTCCTCTTCGACCGTGACTACGATCACCCGCCCCCCCCCCCCCCCCGTCATGTTCCACCACCGTCAAGCGCTCGGGGACCATATCCCGCGGGTGGGGTTGGGGGGTGGGGTTGGGGGGGGGGTTGGGGGGGGTTGGGTGGGGTGGGGTTGGGGGGGTGGGGTGGGGGTGGGGTGGGGTGGGGGTGGGGTGGGGGTGGGGTGGGGGGGGGTGGGGTGGGGGGGGGGGTGGGGTGGGGGTGGGGTTGGGGGGGGGTGGGGGGGGGTTGAGGGGCTGTGGCTGTTGGTGTTGAGCTGAAGGGCTGCACGTGGGCTCATTCCGACATCTTTCAAACGCCGCTTCTCCCGGCATCCTCGCGGGCCGCCGTACAGCACGTCACAACGTGCGTGCTGCGCGTGCGTGCGTGCGTACGTACGTGCTGCGCGTGCGCGGAAGGACAGGCCGAGGCTCGGGACGCGCGGTGTGGAATGAGCGGCTGTTAGGAGGAGGTCGCGCGGGAACTGTTTAAATCTTAACGGTAAATACGGCGCTGGCGGCGGCGGGGGGGGAGGAGGAGAGCGTGGCGCTGCGCGGCTGGTCACCTGCTGACCTGCCGCTCGTCCCAATGGCGGCCGTTAGGTTGCCCCGGGCGGGCGCGGCCTCCACTGCAGCGTCCGGAGGTCTTCAGGTCCAGCTCTTTGGTCCCAGACCAGTTCGGCTGCTCTCTGCCCGGTGTGTGTGTGTGTGTGTGTGTGCGAGAGCAACTCCCTCGCACCATGTCCCCCCCCCCACCGCCATCGCTGCCTTACAATGTCCCCGTCACCCTCACCACCTCTCACTCTGGATAACTAATCGCAGTTTCCACGTCTAAACCCTTCTCATCTTTTCTTATTTCTAGGTTCCAGCTGCTCAGCCCCCACAATGAGGGTTATAATAACAATGATGACGATAATCATACTCACATTTCATATTGCGCCTTTCTTTCATGTCAGGAGACCGTCACTCAACTCCAACCCACAATCCTTCTCTTTGCCTCCTTCAAGGCTTGACTCAAGACCCTTTTTGACCGTTCCTTCAGCCGCCCTCCTACTCCCTCTACGCTTCCTCATCCCGACCCTACCCCCCGCGCTCGGGTCCTGATCCCTGACTGTTCAGCGTCTTGGGACGTCCACCCGCCGTGAAAGGCGCTTTACAAACTTTGTTGTTCCAGACCCGAGGAGAACACGTTTGCAAAGAGCTCTTGTTTTTCTTATGCTTTACTCATTTGCTGTAACGTACTTTTGTGAACAAATAACTTGTTACAGACTTGGTTTTAAGATGCCACTACAAGGAATCTTTCCCATGAATGTTTTCTCCTTTCTCCATATGCAACACTGGGAAGATTTAAAGTGCAGAAATAATAGCTTTTGATTTTGTGCATCCTCTACTGTGGGGCACTTTCTGGGCAGTTGTTCCTATATATCTGGTTTTACGTAGTTTTACGTACAATCAGAGTCAATTGGGGAAAAATGCCCTGAGCAATTATTATTGCTCCAAAACAAAAAACAATAATAAATTGGTCATTTTCAACCCACGACTGTTTGTGGGACATTGCTGTGCGCCATTGGCTGCCGCGTTCGCCCACAAATATACAGTCAATTCACTTTACAGTGTGTTCTGTGAAGCGCTTTGGGACGTCCTCCCGACGTGAAAAGCGCTATATCAAATGCAAGGATTATTATTATTATTATTATTAATATCTAAAATATTACACTATTATTAAATCATACCTGGATGATTATTTCTACTCATCTCATGTTTACACACACCAATTATGATATCTCTAAATAAGAGGGGCCAGTGTTACATGGAGTAATAATAATGAACCTTGCATTTGATATGGCGCTTTTCACGTCTTCTAAGCGTCTCAAAGCGCTTCACAAAGTATACTGTAAAGTGAATTGACTGTATATTTGTGGGCCAAACGCGGCAGCCAATTGCGCACAGTAGTGTCCCACAAACTGTCGTGGATTGAAATGATCAATTTATTATTGTTTTTTGAGGGATTATTATCAGGCGTGTGGAGTAAGGGAACTTGCCCAAGGTTTCACCCTGCCGAGAATTGAACCCAGGTCTCTCATTTCTGAGTCAAATGCTCCAAGTGGAGTCCTGTAGCTCATGTGGTTAGAGTATTCGACTTGCCAGCGGTGTGGAGTAAGGCAAGTTTCTTTACTCTATATGCCTCCGTTTACCTAGTAATCGATTGGCGGATTGTGGATAGAATTACATTGTGGCTGCTGAAGAATTGGGAAGAGCACCTGACCAAGATGGGACAACAGCTTGCATTTATATAGCGTCCTTAATGCCGGGTAGCGTCTCTGTGTGAGAAACCAATTTTATTTGGGGGATTGTTGGTTAGGGTGCTGGGAGAAACTTCCTTCTCTTTTAGAATAGTTCCATGGGATCTATAACATTCATCTGAACAAACAGACTGATCCTTGGATTATCATCTCATCCGAAGGAAGCATCTCTGACAACGCAGACATGACCATCACTATATTTGGAGCATCAGCTTAGACCGTGATTCCAAGTCCCAAGTCCTGACTCAGAAGCGAGAGTGCTACTACTGAGCCAGGCTTGCGCTAAATCCTGATTTGTCTGTAAATGTTTTTGAGCTTCCTGGAAGTAAAAATACTGTTTGATTTACCTCTTTAATGGAGCATTTTTGAACGTTTTTCCATATTTAATTTTATCTCCTGTTCTGATGGGAGTTTTGACTCTCTCACCAAGGGTGATCTCTGTACTTTGATAAAGGAGAACCAAGAAAGTGCTGATATCAATTCTAACTCGCACTGGCTGCCTAGGCTAAGATACAATTCAGCACAGACCAGGATTCAAAATTGTACCCATTATGGAGTCCTGTAGCTTAGTGTTTAGGTCACTCGCCTTGCAAGTGTGAGGACCTGGGTTCGATTCCCGGACAGGGCAAAACCTTTGTCAAGTTTCCTTACTTCACATGCCTCTGTCTAAGTAGCGGTAAGTAGGAACGATAAGTTAGTCCATTTGTGGATCAGTTTCTGGGGATAATAATCCCTTCCCAGTAAATAAATAAAAATTAATTTGGTCACTCAATCCATGACTGTTCATGGGACACTGCTGTGGGCAATTGGCTGTCGCGTTTCACCCACAAAATATAGTCAATTCACTTTACAATATATTCTGTGAAGCGCTTTGGGATGTCTCGAAGACGTGATAAGGCACTATATCAAATGCAAGGATTCTTATTCTTATAGCCTGGTGCTACTTTTTCCCACTGAGCCATCAGGAATCTTAAGGAAATATGGGCCTTGATATTGATTTTTCCGTTTACTTTTTATTCTCTGTATATTTAGAAATGACTACAGCGGCCCGACCAACGTTTGAACCAGCTAGAGGAGGCAAGGGGAAAGGCGAGGGGGATCTCAGTCAACTCTCCAAGCAATATTCAAGTCGAGATCTTCCATCACATACTAAAATCAAATACAGGTTAGAAAATCTTTATTTTTGAGAAGGTAGAGGAGAGGGAAGCATGTATTCATTACCTTAATGCATTAATGTACACTTTTTAAAAAATTAACTGGGAGCGTGCTGCTCAGGAACAGTACACAGCTAAGTAGAACTCTGTTCCTGCATGCACAACGATGCCACTGGTCATGCGATTGGTATTATCGCTGGTTGTGATTGATGGTGCCCCCGGGCATGGGATTGGTGTCATCAATGGTCGTGTTCGGTGATGCTACCACTGGTCACTTGATTTGTGTCGTCACTGTCACGTGATTGTAGTCGCTGTTGGTCATGTTCAGTGGGTGTCACTGCTCACGTGATTGATGATATCACTGGCTGTGTGATCGGTGACATGTCAAGGTGCTGACTGGCGATTCAAAAGATGAGCCAATCAGCTGTGGAAAGCACTGCAAGGACATCTTCATGTGGAATGCACTATACAAATGTAAATTGAAGTCATTGGTTGGGATTTTATAAACCTCAAATATATATATGTGTGTGTGTGTATGAGGCTGAGATTTCTCTGGGTGATAAGGGTTTGATCATGGTTGTGGTCAAGGGAAGGAAGAACACCATGACCAAGATATTGAGCACTTTCTCACAAAGACAGAATTGGAGATGTGCCACAGGAGATGGAGCTTGATTTCCTCTCCACAGCTGAAATAATAATAATACTTGCATTTGATGTAGTGCCTTATCATATTGTCCAGGCATCTCAAAGCACTTCACAGGATTTACTTTAAAGTAGATTTTCACTGTGTATTTTATGGTTAAAATGTGGCAACTAATTGTGCACAGTAATGTCCCAAAAAAGCCATAGAGTGAATGTCCAATTGTATTTGGGGAATTGTTGGCTTCCCTTTTCGAATATTGCCATTGGATCTTTAATATCAATCTGAACAGGCAGATGGGACCTCGGTTTAATGTCTCATCCGAAGGACGGCATCTCCGACAGTGCAGTCACCCACCCCTCCAGCACTGCATTGGAGTGTCAGTTCAAGTCCCAAAGTGAGCCAAGCTGATGCACACGTTGAAATTGCATTTAGGACAATATGGTTAATATAACATGCAGTGGCATTATGCAATACAATCTAAATGTTATTTTTAACTTTTTAATATAACTTGAGCATGGAGATTAGGGGGGAAATGTTGCCACTGGGGTTGTATTCAACATAGATGTATATTACGCTTACAGGCAGCCAACCCAGGATGTTCCAGAAGAGCTGCGTAGCCGTGACTTCCGTCGGGAACTAGAAGAGAGGGAACGAGTCGTAGCACGCGAAAAGGGCAGAGACAGACCACCAAGAGGTATGAAAGGTTTTCTAAGAGTCATGATTGAGTTAACCTTGATTGACTTGGAATTGTGCAAAAAGTTTGAGATGCTGTAATATAGCTTTTCAATTTAAAACCATATGGTATCATAACTTGTGACAAACTGCAGTAATAGAAAATGCTGTTTCCTGGTTTTATGAAATAGAATGCTTCATTTAATTTACCTGCTAACATTGTCTTTTGTCTCTTCAGTTTTAAAATAAAGAACCAAATTGACTGTGGCAAACCTGAAATTCAATTTAGTCAAATCTTCAGATCACACCTGAAGATCTTCCTTTTCGACCGTGCCTATGGTTACTTCACTCCTCTCTTGAGCTCAGTATTGTTCTGTCACTGTTAAGTGCAGCACCGCCCGTTTGCTCATCTTCACCAAACTCTAGCCTCATTACCCCAGTACTCGCCAGGTTCCACTATTCCCTATAACTATTGTTATATGATAATGCTTGCATTTAATATAGCGATTTCAAGATCCTCACACATGTACAAATCACTTAATGTCCTGGCACATCTGTATCCTTCCGACCTGCTTAAACCCTATTCCACTACCTCTGGCCTCCTTCACGTCCCTTGTCCTCTCTGCGCCACCATCGGCGACTGTGCTTTCAGCTATTATTCCCTGAAACTATGGAACTCTCTACCTCAATCCCTTCGCCTTGCCTCTTTCCCTATCTTCAGATCACACCTGAAGACCTTCCTCTTCGACCGTGCCTATGGTCACCTCACTCCTCTCTTGGGCATGGTATTAAATTCCATCTGTTAAGTGCTTCAAGACATTATCCCATGTGAAGGGCACTATATAAATCCAAGTTGTTGAAATGCCATTATTTTGAACTAAATGTTTTTCAGTCTTTTAATTTTGTCACTAGTCCAGTATTGTTCAACTATTCATTTTATTGGTGCAGTGCCCTGAATTTGCTGAATTGTTATATGATAATCTTTGCATTTAATATAGGACCTTATTATGTTGTTGAAATGTCTCAAAGCACTGTTGTCCAATTATCTGCATTGTTTGCTTCTACACAATAGGGTCATGTGCTGTCAATGATATAATTATTTAGTTCTACAAAAGTACTTTTTAGCAAACCACTTTGATATATCTTCCAGATGTGAACAACATTCTATCAAATGCAAGGGTTATTTTTTATCATTAGGTTGGATAATTATAACTATATATTATAATATAATGATAATTTTATTCCTACTATATATCTCCAGCAGAAAAGTACCTTCTAGCTTAGTGGTTAGAGCACTCGCTTCGCAAGCGAGAGGAGCTGGGTTTGATTCCTGGGCAGAGTGAAACGTTGGGCAAGTTTCCTTACTCTATATACCTTCGTTTACCAAGCAGTAAGTAGGAACCCGGTTGTTAGTCGATTGACAATTTGCTTTTCCATGGGTAATAATCCCTTCCAAAAAAAAATAATAACTACTAAATGTTAGTTGAGTGAGCAGGTTTTTTAATGCTGCCACCTACATGTATCTGAAATCGTTGGTATAATAGTTATACCACGAATGCTATAAATTTTTCAATTAATGGCATAACTGTACATGTTTATTTTTGGTTTGCAACAGCACTAAAATTGTAAGGCTTCATTGGGTGATTGTAGCAAAACATGCAATTCCTGCTTTGGTGGAAATGAGGTGGATCAATACAATTCAACACCACACAAGAGATGGCTGCTGCTATTGGTCATACTCTTGTAATTATAAATAAGCCGAAGGGATTTTGATATTAAGGATATCTTGCCAAAATCCAGCACTTCATTGATTTGTTTATTTTCAACTAACCTCCTCCATCCCTTCAAAAAATAAATACATAAATTAACAATAATTTGTCACTCAATCCTCGACTGTTTGTGGGACACTGATGTACGCAATTGGCCACCGCGCTTTGCCTACAAAAATATGCAGTCAATTCACTTTACAATATATTCTGTGAAGGCTTTGAGACGTCTCAAAGACGACAACAACAGCAACAAAATTACATTTGTATAGCACCTTTCACGTTGGAAGAATGTCCCAAGGCGCTGGACAGAGTTTTGGACCCAAGCTGGGGGTCAGGATCGTGGAGGGTAGGGGGGGAAGCAGGTTGATCAAAAGCACGGTCGAAGAGGAGGGTCTTGAGATGGATCTTGAAGGAGGCAAGGGAGGGGGCGAGGTGGAGGGACTGCGGGATGGAGTTCCAGTGTTGGGGGCAGAATGGCAGAAGGCCCGCCCACCAATAGTGGAGCGAGCGAGGCGGGGGGCGTGAAGCAGGCCCAAGCCCACTGAGCGGAGGGAACAAGCAGGATAGTAGGGGGTTAGGAGGTCGCAAGAGGAGGAGTCAAAGGTGGAGGCAGAGAGGTAGAGTTGACTGTCATCCGCATACATGTGGAAGTTGACCCCATGTCTGCAGATGATGTCACCAAGAGGGAGCATATAGATACAAGACATGATAAGGTGCTATATCAAATGCAAGAATTAGTATGATTATTATTATTGGATGCTTCAGAAATGACATTGATAAAATAGCCTAAATTGCATTATTTTATCAAAGGATGCTGTCAAGAAAGTATACTAGTGCGCAAGCCTAAATGATCAGTGCAAGTTGAAAACAAAAACAATTTTATGGTGAGTGATTGATTAAAGTGCACATAATCTGACAACAAACAGGGATCCCAACGTTGATATTACCATTCTGAATGAATTCACAGTATTCAGTCAACCCAATATATTGTGGTTTGGGTTTATAAATTCAGATCCTGTGTTAAGCCAACACTACAAAAATGGTTGCTGGTCAGTGCTTCAGGGTCACCAGACATCAATCACATCGTTTCTTGCGCTGGGAATTGCTCTTCCGAGCATTTCTAGCCATTACTAAAACACTTTTGGACCCTGAAAGACTTGCTCAACCTGTGTATTATTCACAGAGAGCGAGCCAGGCAGCCTTGGAATCTGCACTTTATGGTATACCTCAGGTTCGCCATTACAACTGCGCTATGTGGACTTGTACTTTACTGGGGCACCAGTTCAGCCTGTATTCACCTTTCACTGAAGAAAAAATTGAAGGAAACAAGCACTGAGGGATTAAACATGAATTCAAAATGTATGAAACCTAATTTACTTTCTTTTGAAGACCTGTCATTTTTCTTTTGCTGTTGCAGAGCACACAACATCCTCTTCAAAGAGACCACGTTTGGATCAGATTCCAGCAGCGAACCTTGATGCTGATGATCCACTAACAGATGTATGGCATTTTGATTTTTCCATTGGCTTGCTTAAAATAATTGCTTGAATAAGATCTTACATTAGCATACTACTTCAGGTTTAATCCAGAAAATATACCATGTATATTTTTGTAAAGAAAGAAATGGATGAATATTTTAGGTCTTACCTGTATGTTAGCTGGCTTTTCAAATGGGGCATTTGTTAGCCAAGAATGAGCAGTAAGACAAACTATATTCTCTTTCTGAGCCACCAGTTGAGGAAATCATCTCCTTTATCAGTTTAAAAAGAAGTAATTTAAACCGAAGTGTATTTTGTTGGAAACAACAACTTGCATGTATATAGCACCCTTCACACGGGGTGGAGTCCTGGAGCACTTGAGGATATGTTCTGGAGGATAATGTCATTTTTTCATTCCCTATCCTGGATCTCTGTCAAGAGTGGAGGCTTTTAACAACAAATAACAAAATTACATTTGTATAAAGCCTTGCACGTCGGGAGGATGTCCCAAGGACATCTCCTTTATATTTAATGTGGTTAAGATGAATTGAGTGGGTTGTGAATAACTTAGATAACTAAGTGCTGAATTAATGATGAATAATTATGCAAGAACTGTAGAAATTTATACAATATAAGATTTTCTCAATGCTGGCTCTTTTAAAGAGCAATCCTTTCAGTCCCATTTACTTGTGCTTTTCCCCATATATGTGTAGTTTACTCCTTTTTAGATATCTTTCTAGTTTCCTTTTGAAAGTTATTATAGATTCTGCCTCAAACACTGCTCCTGGTAGGACATTCCATATCCTAACTATTCTGTGCATGAAAACATTTCTCCTAATCTTTGTTTGCTAGCTATCTTATATTGATGTCCTCTGGTCACTGATGCATTGACCAGTAGAAATAATTTCTCCCTGTTGACTGTCAAAACTCCTCATAATTTTAGTGACCTCTATCATGTCACCCCTTAACCTTGAGAGACTTTGTTCTCGGGTTGTCTTCTCATCTGAAGAAGTTTGGTGCCTTAGTGTGCTTTTTTGAAAGTGTTGTGTAATAGAACAGACCTACCTTAACCTTAATCTTTTTGCTAATGTATATATTTTGAACAGGGCTCCTTTATGTCAGGGGTGTCAAACATGCAACTCATGAGCAGTATCTTATTCCCTCCTCTGTTTTCTCCAGCTTGTGCACGACTAGCAGAGAATAAGTGTGTGAGGCACAGAGAGAATTAAGTGTGGAGTTGTTTGTATCTACCGCTACAAGGAATTAAACCACTAGGTGGCTCAGTGGTATAATACAATAAAGTACTCTAGCAAATTGTTATGCTGTTTCAGGGAGCTAAACGTGGGCTCTTCACCCTTCCAAAAAGGCAAATCATGTTGTTTTCACATACCAACTGATATTCTAGTTAGTTTGATGTTGGTAAATTGAGTGATCCATAGTACAGAAATTATGTGAGTGAACCAATTTTTAATACTTGAAAAGTGCTCTATGACTGCTGCTTTTAGTTTGCAGAATTTAAAGAAACACATTGAAAGGAAAATCAAGATATAGGCTCACATGAAAGACATTTGAACCCTTTTGCTATCTTTTGCTATCTGCATTCAAAAGCTGAAGGAAATAGTATTCCAGCAAGAACAACAAAATTACATTTATAGAGCGCCTTTCGCGACGCGAGAACATCCCAAAGCGCTGAACAGTCAGGTGTCGGGACCCGAGGATGGGGGAGGGGTGGTGTAGGGGAGAGGGAAGGCAGAGAAGTGTGAGGGTGACCAAAGGCACGATCGAAGAGAAGGGTCTTGAGACCGGCCTTGAAGAAGGCAAGGGAGGAAGTGAGGCGAAGGGACCATGGGATGGAGTTCCAGAGTGTGGGGGCAGAGTGGCTGAAAGCCCGGCCATCGATGGTAGGGTGGGTCGGGCAGGAGACTGGAGCCCACCAAACGGAGCGGCAGGTTGGTAGGGAGTAAGTAGTAGTTGAGTGACTCTGGCGTGCTGTGCTCATTGTCAGTAAGCCATGCAACAACAACAGCAAGATTACATTTGTATAACATTAACAATTGTTATTTTTGGTACTGATTTTATTGTTGTTTTTCTTAGGAAGAAGAGGAAGAAGATTCTGACAAAGACAGTAGTAGTGATGATGATGATGACGATACTGCTGCTCTTTTGGCTGAACTAGAGAAAATTAAGAAGGAACGTGCAGAAGAACAAGCACGCAAGGTAACAGGATACTCTCAACATATCAGAATTGATATTAAAGCATCCGATACACAAGTCCTTTGATGATTGGGTGCCAAAACCTTTTTAAATCACATTTTCTTCACTAATTTTTCTTTTGATCTCCTGATGGTGTTGACACATTGTCAGGCTCACTTTTGTGGACATAGGTCTTCTTGTTGAGTTATGTTTTCTTGGATAATGGGTGCCCTCTGGTACCTGGCTAAATAGCTATTTGTGTATGAGTCTTAACAGTGAGTATGTACTGCAGGCTACTTGATCAGCAGTGATTAGAAGAAGAAATCTGACTACCGTTTTTCCTTCCTAACTCAATGGCACCTAGACTAATTCTTGCATCCCTATTGCTGTCCAGAATGAGATTAGTAGAGACCAGGATTTGACTATAATATTCTGTGCTGCAGGGGGAACTGTTTTGCAGCTTTTTAAATGGGTGTTAGTTTAATTGTTTTATGAATCTAATTATATCTTGCTACGAGTAATTATATTAAAAATTGAGATATATGGAATCGTAGAAATGGATTCTCTGAATACTTTTGTTTTAAAAAGAAATCACAGAAATTCTACGTTGGGCTTTGAATCCTTCATGTTCGGAAGCTACATTTTTTAATAATGTATTTAAGGAGATTTGCTGCGAGACCTGTCATTTTCATGTTGCTTTAACTGAAAAATTGCAGATACATCCAAAGTTGGGGCTCCTAAATTACCCTGTCAAAGCAGCGCATTCCAGAATAGAATTATTCATTTATGAAATATCTCTGCACTCAATCATCCTGTCCCCTGCAATTTGAGAATCTGCAATATAATCTGATACCCATTTTTAAATGCCCTGAAAAACAAGCTATTAACTATCCCCAAACCTTCCCCACAAGTGAGAGAACGTCTAACATTGAGCAATTGTTTTCATTCCAAGTTGTACAGTCACTGAATTTTAAACCTGCATTACAGCTATGCTCAGTTAGCTGCATTGTGTTTCACATAATGTGTGTCAGTGCAGTGGCTCTGAAGTTAGAAGGCCAAGCTTTTTGGTTTCTTGATTGAATGTTTCTTGATTTATGCCATACATTAAGAAAAAACTGGAAACAAAACATTGATTTAAAACAGACTCGCCTAGTCTAGTGCAAATGTTTGGTGGGCCACTTCTGGCCTGTGAGCCATGGGTTGGCCACTACTTATCTAACGGTAGGTCTCGCAAGAAGCATCTCAGACGAGAGGTCTATTGTCAATTACTATTGTAAAACTGCAACTTGCAGTTCAAGTTAGAGGTGCCTCAATTCCCAGTCGCAATATAAAGAGGAAGCTTGCCACATGTAGGTGTTTTTTGTTGTATTTGCAATCTTGATTGATAGACGCAGTGATTTGTCAAAACAAGGTTTTCCATCTTGGAGAGTTGAATTAAAAAGCTCAATTGTTTGTTACCAAACTTCTTGAGAATTTCTTTAACATTGACGGGGGATGTTGTGGTGTAAAATTATCATGTATAATAACCATGAAGCAAAGAGCTACATTGATAATAAAATTGAGATTTGTCACTGATACATAGAATCATAGAATTATACAGCACAAAAGGAGGCCATTCTGTGTCTGTGCCAACTCTATCCTATTCAATCCCACTCCCCCGCAATCTCCCCATAGCCCTGCAAACTTGTCCTCCCCAAATGTCTATCTACGTCTCTCTTAAAAGTTGTTATCGAATCAGCTTCCACACCCTTTCAGCTAATGCATTTCAGATCCGAACAACTCACTGTGTGAAAAAATTTCTCCTCACCTCTCTTCTTTCTTTTAACTATTTTAAATCTGTGTCCTTGGATTACCGACCCAACTGCCAGTGGAAATAGTTTCTCCTTGTTCACCCTATTGAATCCCCTAATAATTTTGAAAACTTCTATGAAGGCTTCTCTTAACCTTCTGTGCTCCAAAGAGAATAATTCCAGCTTCTCCAGCCTCTCCTGATAACTGAAGTCCCTCATTCCTGGTACCACCCTGGTAAATCCCCTTTGCACCCTCTCCAATGCCTTGACATCCTTCCTATAGTGTGGGGCCCAGACCTGAACACAGTCCTCTAGCTGAGGCGTAACCAGTGTTTTATAAAGGTTCATCATAACTTACTAACTTTTGTATTCTATGCCCCTATTTATAAAGCCTAGCATCCTGTATGCTTTTTTTAACAGCTTTATCTACCTGTCCTGCCACCTTCAAAGATTTACTTATATGAGCCCCAGGTCTCTCTGTTCCTTCACCCCTTTAAGATTGTACCATCAGCTTATATTGCCTCTCCTCATTCTTCCTCCCAAATGCATCACTTCGCATTTCTCTATATTAAACTTCATCTGCCACGTGTCTGCCCATGTTACCAGTCTCTCTATATCCTCTTGCAGTGCTACTATCCTCCTCACTGTTTACTACATTTCCTGCCTTAGTATCATCTGCAAACTTGGAAATTGTACTTCCCTATTCCCAAGTCCAGGTCATTTATATAGATCAAAAATAGCAGTGGTCCCAATACTGACCCCTGGGGGACACCACTGCACACTTCCCTCCAGTCAGAAAAACAGCCGTTTACCACCACTCTGCTTTCTGTCTCCCAGCCAGTTCTGTATCCATGCTGCCACTGTCCCTTTAATACCATGGGCTTCTATTTTGCTTACAAGACTCTTATGTGGCACTTTATCAAACGCCCTTTGAAAATCAATATAAACGACATCAACTGCACTACCTTCATCAACTGCACTACCTCCGTTACTTCATCAAAAAACTCTATCAGGTTTGTTAGACATTATTTGCCTTTAACAAATCCGTATTGGCTATTCTTTATTAACCCATATTTTTCTAAGTGAAATTTATTTTGTCCTGGATTATAGTCCATAGAAGTTTCCCCACTACTGACGTTAAGCTGACTGGACTGCAGTACCCGGGTTTAACTTTCTGCCCCTTTTTGTACAGCGGAGTAACATTTGCAAACCTCCAGTCCTCTGGCACCATCCCGGTGTCCAAGGAGGATTGAAAGATGTGGCCAGATCTTCTGTTATTTCCACCTTTACTTATCTACCTTGAGTACCGACAACCTTTTTAGTACCTCCCTTCAGTTTATTTCTATCTTATCCAATTTCTCCACCCTTTCCTCCGATACTATCTTTTGTGAAGACAGATGCAAAGTAGTCATTCAGTACACTAGCCATGCCCTCTGCCTCCACAAGAAGATTTCCTCTTTGGTCCCTAATTGGTCCCACCCTACCTTTAACTAACCTTTTATTCTTTATATGCTTATAAAATACCTTATGCTTCCCTTTTATGTTACCCGCTAATCTTTTCTCATACAGTCTCTTTGCCCCTCTTATTTCTTTTTTCAGTACCTCTGCTGTCCACAAAATAACTAATAATTTGCATTATTTGAATCAACTTCTGTTTCAGTTTTGATTACAACTAATGTAATCGGTGTGATGTCAAGTGCAAAGCTAGCATTTGTAAATGAAATCTATAGTTTCCCACTTGTCTGTGACTTTTGTATAAAACTTTAATATAGTTCTTTAATATGGCATCATGCAAATGTTTCTGCCAGAGAGCTATTCCTGTACTGTAAAAATGCAATAGTACACGATCCCTTTAAGAATGTTTAATACATAAACTGTGTTCTAAGAACACAAAGAACTTGTGTTTATTGACGAGCACATCAGTCCTACAATTTGCTAATTGAGATAAAAGAGCAACAGCGCGCTTATCACAAAAAAAAACTTGATGACCTTTCTCCGGTTGAATATGACCATGGCTTTTATACTATACTTGCATAAAGTGCTTGAAGAAATTATCTAGCCATAGAAATTTATTGGCATTTTAGTTCGCAAGCAAATTCTTGTCAGATAGCCAAAGTACTAGAAATGTTTCTTTTGAGTGTGTGCATGGAAAGAAAATTATGTGGAAAAAAAACCTGGATAGAATCCAAGTGACTACTTTCCTTTAAATTTCTCATGTGAAAGAACTGCTAAAGAGTGTCCCTTGTGTTCTTTCACGTTTGGTCCTTGTGACCCTATTTCAGTTTGTGATTTGGTCTGCAGGTCAACTGAACTGACCCACAGAAAGTTCATAATGGTTCTTGTGTTGATTGGCCACAAATGTTCTGATTTTGTGTTCTTGTATTTGTTTTGCTGCATTTGTATTTAGGCCAAAACTATTTTAAGAACATTTTACCTTCTAAACCAAGATCTGGCTGCATATGAAAAATCCAACAAGCTTTTAATTATGTAATGTTTGTACTCCTGGTGAAGTTTTTTTTGCATGATTGACTTAGAATGCAGTTGTTTGGCTGCTCAACTCATCCTAAATGTTGTGTCAGTATATAATTATGGATTACATTTTGAAATGTATCATCTATTCTGCTAAATTTCAAGGTTCAGCCTTATAAATTTCCACGATGGTGAAGCACCAGAAAAGTGTTAGAACCTAGTAACAGGTCTTTGGTTTTAATTCAGCAAAGGACAAATTCATTTTATATCTTTATTTTCAATTACAGATGTTAAGTGAGTAATTCTTGTTCTTAGTAGATGGGAGTGTAATCTAGCATCATTGAGAATAAAGACAGAATAAAGGCATGATGGAACTGCTAAATGAATGTTTTTCTTTGGTCTTCACAGTTGAGGTACAGGGAAGATGAGATTATTGAAGTGGAGAATCTTAAACAACAACTTGCATTTAAAAAATGGCCTTAACAATGGCAAAGTTTGATGCTGAGCTGGGAAGAAAGGCGAGATGATGCATTCAAAGAAGAAAGTCTTCAGGTGTGATCTGAAGATAGGCAAAGAGGGGACAAAGCACAGGGATGGAGGCAAGGAGTTAGAACATAAGAATTAGGAGCAGGAGTAGGTCATTCGGCCCCTCGAGCTGCCCTGCCATTCGATAAGGTCATGGCTGATCTTCATACCTAACTCTAATTACCTGCCCTATCCCCATGTCCCCTAATCCCTCTATTTTTTAAAAATCTATCAGTCTCAGCCTTGAAGGTATTCAAGGACTGAGCATCTACAGCCTTCTGGGGTAGTGAATTCCATAAATTCACTACCCTCTGAGTGAAGAAATGTTTCCTCAACTCTGTTCTAAAAGGCTGACCCTTAATTTTAAGACTGTGACCCCTGGTTATAGATTCTCCTACCAGGAGAAACAGACCTTCACTGTCTATCCAGCCCTTTAAGAATCTTATATGTTTCAATAAGATCTCCCCTAATTCTTCTGTACTCTGGAGAATACAGCCCTCGTTTATTCAGCCTATCCTCATAGGTCAGTCCCCTCAGCCCAGGAACTAACCAGTGAATCTACGCTGCACCCCCTCTAGGGCAAGTATGTCCTTTTTTAAATAAGGAAACCAAAACTGCACACAATACTCTAGGTGCGGTCAGAGGGTCAGGGCATAATGTCTGAGAGCACGATCAACGATAGTGCAGTGGCGAGGACGAGGGACATATAGAGTGCCTTGAGTTGGCTGAGCAAAGGTTAGAGGAGTGGAGTATGAGCAGGGATTAACAGGATTAGTATAAACAAAATGGTATAATAAAGCAATTGTAATGGGTTATAATTGGAACTGAAGACAGACAAATCTCCAATTTTCACCTCTGGATACTAAAATAAAGAGACAAGGAAATTGAAGATGCATTTGTTAAAGCCTTTCAAAAGCTTTTTGAATCCAATTCTTACCATTCATTCCTTTAGGAGTACATTGCAAACAGAAATAGGAATTATTTAAGAACATAACGTTTGGAATGAGAATTAATTAGGCCTATGAAGGTGCTCCTTCTAACAGGTCAATTATAGTTTATAAACGCAGGATCAGGAATAGGATAGTAATACAGTTGTAGAATAGCGAGCAGAGGAAAATTAATCTGGAAAGTGTTATGGGCATTTCAGAAATAAAGTGGGAGGAAGAGAAGACAGGAAAAGTCTTTACTGAATACCCACTAGCTGGTGGATGGAGGCTGAAGAAAACGAATACGTATACCTTACACTTTCAATTTGTTTAACCTGATTGAAGTGTTGTTAATGGCAGCCTTAGAGAATTGTACTGACTGGTCTGCCAACTTATCTGCCCGTGGGATAGCTGTTTGGGACTAAAAAGAAAATACACTAAAACCCCGGCTGGTTAGACTAATGGGGGGAGATTGATGTGCCAAGCCAGAATTTCCAGCTAAGTGTAATTACAATGCCGGTGCCACGCATTTACTGATTTTTTTAATAAAAACAGTAAACTTTTTAATAAAAACAGTAAATAACAACAACAGCAACAAATTGCATTTATATAGGGCCTTTCACCAGCATTGTAATTGCTGGAATCTCGCAAGCAGAAGACAGCGAATAAACTATCTTCTGCTCACAAGGTTTTAAAAAATTCTGTTTCAGTCCTGGGTCTGAATTCCGGATAACCAGAGGAACTGGGAATTTTTTGTACATTTTTTTAAAAAGAGTTCTTTGCACTTCTTTTGGAAATATGTTAATACATGCAATTTGTAAGGAGGAAAAATGGTCATTTAATTAACTGGAAAATAAATTATTGCAGTGAAATAAATTCATAGTTAAATAATTCCTGTTTTGTGTTTGGTGACCATTGATACCAGAGCTTGTGTTTATGTGTTATCAGTATTCAGTAAACTAACTTTTTCCAGATCAAATATTTTTGTTGCCCTGCGGTTTATGACTGTCCTTTGACACTTTGCCATAAAAACAGTATGGATATAACTACATTGAAGCCCATTTATAATTGATAGTTGGAGGTCCATAAAATCCCATCCAGCACTAAATCAACACTTTCTCATTCACTGTACATACATGCAGATCTTGGCTGGCTTCATTGGTGCCAAATTGCCAGGGGGCACTAGGTTGCCATTGCCGATATTTCAGCACTGGAAATGATGGCGGTAACCTGGAAGTGGGCAATTTCTTTTGTATTACTAATAATATAATAATCCTAGCATTTGATATAGCACCTTACATGTTCAAAGGTCCTCTCAAAGTGCTTCAACAACAACAACAACAACAACAAGATTCCATTTATTGAGCGCCTTTCACGTCGGGAGGACGTCCCAAGGCGCTGTACAGTTGGGTCAGGACCCGAGCATTGGGGGGAAATGGTCAGGGTGAGGGGAGGAAGGGAGGGAGCGAGGAGGGGGTAGAGAGTCGAGAGGGGAGCTGAAGGCACGGTCAAAGAGAAAGGTCTTGAGACCGGCCTTGAAGGAGGAAAGGGAGGAGGCGGCGAAGGCACTGGGGGATAGAGTTCCAGAGCCTGGGGGCTGAGAGGCTGAAGGCTCGGCCACCGATGGTAGGGCGGTTGGGGCGGGGAATGTGGAGCAGACCGGAGCCAGAGGAACGGAGGGTACGGGCGGGTAGGTAGGGGGATAGTAGGTCGGAGAGGTAGGAGGGAGCAAGGCCATGAATGGCCTTGTAGGTGAGGGTGAGGATCTTGAATTGGATCCTCTGGGGGATGGGGAGCCAGTGGAGGCGAGCGAGGGTGGGATTTACGGGATTTACTGTAAAATGTAGTAACTGTGTACCTTCTGGGTGAACGTGACAGAAAGTTTGCTGAGTGTAAATTGGTTGCCATATTTGCCAACAAAATATCCAGCCAATGTTCTTTACAATAAATCCTGTAAAGCACTTTGTGACATCCTCCTGATGTGAAAGGCGTTATATTAAATGCAAAGATTATGTTTATTATAAGTGGTGATTTTGTGAGGGCAGTCAATAGCTCGTGGAATTTGCATGGAGTTTGAGTTTCTAACACCTTTGTAAAAGATGCATTTGGGGTTTATATTCAATGAAAATTAGCTGACTGCATATATTATAATTTTATGTATGTGTGTAAATTTACATTCAAAATGACAAATTATTATTTTACTTTTGTAGGAACGTGAACAGAAGGCTGAAGAAGAAAGAATTAGAATGGAAAATATTCTAAGTGGCAATCCCTTGCTGAACCTCATAGGCCAGTCGAGCTTCAAAGTGAAGAGGAGGTACTGTGAAATAAAAGCCTTTATGATATTCAGTTAACGGAAAAGACTATTTTAACCATCTGTGCAGCCATTCTAAGTGGCAAAACAAAAAACAGTATAGAACTTGGAAAAGCCCTACGAACAAAACTTTTAAACAGTACCTTGCAGGCAAAAGAAACCTTTCAAAGAGCTTTACAGAATGAGATTAATTAGAAATGAAGTGATTGTTGGTATGGAGGCAAATCTGGCAGCTGAGTTTCTTCAAGTGATATCCTGGGCCAGTAGAAATTTGCAGAAATATTTCCCCAAATTGCGGGGCCCTTGACGACTTTTGCGGAAAACTGCAGAGGTCTTTGGTAAATTTTGAGGGCAATTGTGGAGGATTGATTGGTGCTATTGAGAGACGCATTTTGTGAAACAATCTGGATTAAAACTATAGGCACACATTTCCTGAAAATGTAGTTGTATTTAAAATACTAAAAGTGTTCATTTGAATAGTATAGTACTTACCAAGAATTCATTGCAGGAACTCAGTTTAGGCAGAGCGCCGTGCAAATAGACAGCAGTAGTGTGACTCAGCTGGTATTTCTATCGTGGTTAACTCACTAGTGAGGCCGATTTACATCGCTTCTGTAATCCCAAACCCCACTCCTCCACCCCGTGCGTCACGCACATTTGACCAGAGTCGCTCCGCCCACACTAATAGCATCGAGCAAACAGCACGCAGAGCCCAGGGACTAGGACACTGTGCACAGGTTTGTATGGGGCCTAGTACACTGTGTGTACTGGTTGTAGTTGAGGGACGTTTATAGCGGGTTCCGCGGATAAAGTGTGGTCACACTTTTCTATTGGTGAAGACGATATCTTACAAGAGATGAACCGTAGAAATTTACAGCACAGGAGAATGTCATTCGGCCTCAGCAGTCAATTTGAATGAGGAGGGAATAAAATACAGGGAGGAAACCTCAATTTTTCTTTAAAATAAAGTAAGGGGCAGGGGGCACTTCTTGTCCAGACCTAAATGACAGGATAGATTAGATGTAAATTTGGGATGATCTTGATAGACTTGTATAATACAGAATATATAGTATCCTAATGTCTGAAGAGGTAAACAGAAAATGGGTGGATGCAGAAATTGCTGGAAATGCACAGCATATTGCATCAGCATCTGGAAGAGAAAGCTGTGTTTAACATTCTTGATTGTGACCTTTCATTCAAATTAGCAACAATTAAAGAGTTTCTGTGGTGTAATGCAAAAACTGATATTTAGATTAGTTCTTGCAATAGTAAAGTATATACCATTTAATTAAATTGGGTTCCTAATCCCTTTTGAGTAGATATTTTTCAATTGTTATTTAATTTTATTTCCAGATAGGTAACTCCAAACTATATATTCTCACTGAATGAAACTTCTTAGGGGCAGAGAAATGTTTGATTCATTGATTTAGTCTCAAACTTAACCTTGCAAGTTTTAAATTTAATTCTTTGATATTGCTACTCTACTCCACTAAAAATAAATCTATCCAAAAATCTAATGGTAGAGAAATTACCGGAATGATTTGCACAGGTGGTATCATTTTTTCTTCAATAAAATTGTGCTAAACGTTGATTACAAACATCCACTTGTGCCTTTGTAAAAGGCTGGAAACTATTTCGTTATGTATAAATTTGGCATCTTAAAATGATACTTTATCTAATGATGCAAAACACAATGTTGCCCTGATATTGGTTAGATTACTACCAGACAATAATGACCCAGACAAGCACCCAGATATTGTGTGCACTAAATTCAGTGCAAAATGTTTCAGGAGTACACTTGTGAATTGAAGTTTTATTTTTTTCCATCTGCATTGTGTGTATTTTATTGCTGTACCAGATTTCATCTCTGCAGATAAAATATGAGTGTTATCAGCCTTCTTTGTTGACATGACTCGTGGAGTCTTGTAGCTCAGTGGTTGGAGCACTCGCTTTGCAAGTGAGAGACCTGAGTTCAATTCCAGGCAGGGCGAAACCTTGGGCAAGTTTCCTTACTCCACACAGAGCCTAATAATAATCCCTCCAAAACCAAAAACAATAATAAATTGGTCATTTTCAATCTACGACTGTTTGTGGGACATTGCTGTGCGCAATTGGCTGCCGCGTTCACCCACAAATATACAGTCAATTCACTTTACAGTGTGTTCTGTGAAGCGCTTTGGGATGTCCCCCCGACGTGAAAAGCGCTATATCAAATGCAAGGATTATTATTATATATGAATACTAACTTTGTTGAAGTGACCTAATTCTAGGCCAAAGTAATAACCTTCTAAGCTTCTATTTTTGAAAAGTGCAACAGCATCCAATCGCGTTCTGGGTGGAGAGCAGGGGCGGTTCTTCTCTATTTTCCTTTCACAAAATGTGCCAAAACCAGTGTTTTCATCCATGTTACAAGCAGTAACCAAGGAAGTAAAGTCCATTCAACTAACAAAAAAGCATTTGCACATGCTCCTTTTCATCTTACCATTTTATCAACAAACGTAGAAAAAGATCAAAGCACACGTGCATACACCATGCGAATCAGAGTATTGAGATCACATGCCCAACGACTGTGTGTGTCACTCATTTTTTATTTGCTAATCAAAAATGCAATTTAGCCACATCTGGATTTTCAATTCGCCACATGTGGTTGTGGCTAATGTACCCTGATCTAGAACATTCACTCTGGCCATGTTGTGCCCACACCATGGAACATGGAATATTTATCTTGAAGATCTCTGGAAAGCAGTTACGTGAAACATTTTCTATACTTCCATTGAGTGTTAAATTGTCTTGTCCTGACAGCATTTGCAATGCTCCTACGGGGCATAGAGGTGCAGATGCTCAAAACCAGAATCAGTTTCTGGTTGCTGTATTACTGCTGTGTGTATGCCGAGAATGGACAGAGACATAGTCTGTCTTATTCTTTGAAGTGCAATGTCCATATACAAAGAACTTCCTGACTTGATCCTCTCTAGCAACCTGACTTAAGCGTCTGCAGTACCAATTTAATATGCACCCTGAGGCTTTTCTACTCAATATATCAATTGGATTGTCCAGAATGACACCTTATATATACTAGCAGCTGAGTTTAACCAGCGAACTGATAACATTAACATTGATAACGGATAACATAATGCAAAGTTTAGTGTCCTTTGGCTAGATTTGTCTGTGGAGGTTGAACTTTGGGTGAAGAATGAGGTATACTCAAGGTAGGTAATCTGACATTTTAAACCACCATTCAAGCCCAAGATTTGGACATCAGCACCCTCGGGTCCTGACCCAACTGTCCAGCGCCTTGGGACCTCCTCCCAACGTGAAAGGCGCTCTATAAATGCAATCATGTTGTTGTTATTAGAAAGATGATTTATTTCTGGTGAAGCAATGCAGGCACCAGTTCTATTAATCTTTGGGGGTTTCTTGTAGTTGTGAACTATATGGTTCTTATTTTTAGATACCAGCAGTGATTGTTTGATCTTTATATTGATTATGTTTAGTTCAGGGGCTGGATTATTTTATAGAGTACACTGGCTCGGAAGAAAAAATTCTACTTGAAGTGCTTAACAAAAGCATGAATACAGTTCTATGAAGGTGATCAATTGCAAGAAAAACATTTTTAAATAGTTGTGCTAAATAACTGATTCCGCTTTTAATCTTTCTCTTTTAGGTGGGATGATGATGTTGTGTTCAAGAATTGTGCAAAAGGGATAGATGACTCAAGGAAAGATAAAAGATTTGTGAATGATACGCTTCGCTCTGAATTCCACAAGAAATTTATGGAAAAGTATATCAAATAATTAGCACCAAATATTGATGTTGCTGATTTAACCAACATTAACTACAGAGGACTCCCACCCGAAAAGATGAACTATTTTGCTCTACATTTGTTTCCTTGGACTGTGCATCAACTGTACCCAAGAGGGTGAACAACCTGCTTCCAACATCAGCCAATATTGTTGTGAGATGACCATTAGGAGATCCACTTGAGCAATCCAGGAAATTTGGCTCCACCACCATGAGGAATAGTCAGAGCTTTGCTCAGTGTCCTCCCATTGCATTGCAAGTAAAACCAGACACTCCGTGGTATAAGGAAAGCAACTGAACTTGTCACCCAACCTCTGTTAGTTTTCAAATACATTGGGTCATCTAAATGTTGTATTTTCTGCCGGCTCAAAGTGGGTTGTAAATTTCTATTAGTGTAATAAGTGTGAGAACAACTTCCTTGTGGTATGTTTTCTGGATAAATACAAGGCTGCCTTTATACCTCAAAACCATTTGAGATCCATTTCTTCTCTAGCTATAAAGAACATCTGTTTGAGGTAATATTGGGCTCAGATCTATTCCTGTCCCATAAACTATTAGAACTTGACTGTTGTCCTTCAATCCAGTGAAGAATAAATCGCTTGTTTTGCTTTTATCCAGATGCTAGCAATAAAAGTTTTTTTTAAAAAGTGTTTATTTCTAACTTAAATATTCCTGAACTAGCAGTCAGAGTGAAATGCTGGTATTTAGTTTTATGACAGTAATCCACATTTTTATTTTTTGCATCCACAAAAAAGCGTCAGGAGTTGTCGTTTGGCCATTTGAGTGTGCTCTGTCATTTTTACACCGTATCAGATCTTGTAATATTGTTTCCCTGCCTTTTCTCCAAATCCCATGATATCCTTACTTCCCAAATGTCTCTTTTTAAGACATCCCTATCGATTGTATATCCGCAGCTGTTAGTGAACAAAGCATTCCACGTACTCAACTATTTTCTGATTTCACTTTTAACTGGTTTATTAGCTCTTGCTTTCAAGATTAGATCCTTATTTGGATCGCCTTGCCATTGAAGGAAGAAGAGTCATTCGGTATCTAGCTTATGAATTTCCTTCGTTGTTTTTATCCACGCAACCAGAAACTTGTGACTTTATAAGGATGTCTTAGAGGCATATGGAAAATGGGCTTTGCCTCCTCGCATTGAAGACCTGTCTAAATTTCCCTTCTTAATTGATATTCAGAGAAACTGGCCAGCCATTAATAGTGTTTGGAATTTATTCTCAACCTTCCTGGCTCTTCATTGCCAATGTGCATGCCTCTTCCAAGCCAAGTGTTGACATTTGAATGAGATGCTGAACCCAGGTCCTTACATCTGTCTGTTCCGGGTAGTTCAGATAGCTGCTAGTTCATTATTTGAATAGTTGGAAGTTCCTTGCCTGTCCTGTGTTGCCTGATATTTTTGTATCTTGATGATTACGTAAATGGAGTAAAATCTGTGGGTGAATCAGACTCCTCTACTTTAGCGAAGTAGACAGCCCAGTAGCTTACTGTGTAAGTATGCAATTTAGCTTAGTTAGTGAGTGTCTAAAATGCTTTTAAGAAAACTTGCTATTGATGGGTCTTATCCTTCTAGTATTTCCAATTGATTGTATCTAAACCTTATGGTTTTTGTAATTTTTCATTGATATTTCAAATTTGCACACTTGTGAACTCTACATAAATGGTAAATTTAAGAATATAGTACTAAATGCATTTTAACCTATGTTGGAAAATCTACAGTAAGTACTTAAGAACAAATCCGTTTCCAAAATTCATGGAACTTTTTGAGTGACAGCTCTCTCTGTGTGTCCGTCCCTCTCTGTCTCACTTCTCTCCCCCCCCCCACCCCCCATTGTCCACAAACACATTTATTCCAGAGTTGTGGCAGTTTGCAACGGGATTTACTAATAGTTTGTTAACTTATAATGCAGAAGTACAGTCGGATTTGCATAATATTAAGTCGCCTATTGTTATAATCCACATAATATTATACAGGAAGCTGAGCTTGGTATATTTTGTAGACATTTGTGTAGCTATAATCATGTTATAATTTGTCAAAAGGTATGCAAATTTATGGTCCAGATTAACAAATGTTATACCCAGTGGTGCAGCGCTGCAGGAAGCATTGCTCCAGCATTTGGAACGAAGATACAGGTGGATAGTCCATGGGAGGACGGGATGGGTTGATGGACAGACATATGGATCACTCAATGAAAGCTTGGGGTGGGTTAATAGAAGGCAGATGATCCGATGAGAAGAGGCTGTTTCAGTTCTGTATTTCAGTACCATAGTGACTGTTGTTTTAGTGATTCAAAATGAAACTCAAAAATAAGTGATTTTATTTTTTTTAAACACCCTTTAATATGGGGAAATGAAAGTAAAATATTGGATGTTTTATGCTTATCCTTTAAATTGTAAATTCCTTCAGGACAGTCTGGAATTGTTTGCATTTAAGGGAAGTTCCACTATTATAGTACAACAACAAATTGATTTATATAGCAATATAGGGAAAAGAGGTGGGGGGTAGCCCTGTTAATTAGGGATGAAATAAAAGCAGTGGAGAGGAAGGATCTGAAATCCGATGACCAGGAGGTCAAGACAATGTGGGTGGAAATAAAAAATAATAAAGGGCAGAAAATATTAATGGGAGTGGTTTATAGACCACCAAACAGCGATCACAATATAGCACAGGGTATTAATCAAGAAATCAGTGGAGCATGTAGGAAAGCGATAATAGTGGGTGATTTCAATCTCCACATAGATTGGGAAAACCAAATCGGCTAAAGTAGGTCAGAAGAAGAGTTCATTGAGTGTATGAGAGATAACTTTCTAGAGCAGCATGCCGAGGAACCAACTAGGGGACAGGCCATCCTAGACCTTGTTTTGTGTAATGAAACAGGGCTAGTTGGCAGTGTAGGTATTAAGAATCCTCAAGGGCAGAGTGATCACAATATGATTGAATTCTGCATTAAGTTAGAGAGGGATATAGTTAAATCCGAGGCAAGTCTTCTGAATTTAAATAGGGCTAATTTTGTAGGTATGAGGAAAGATTTAGGTAAAATAGACTGGAGAATAAGATTAAGAGGTAAAAATGTAGACCAACAGTGGCAAATATTTAAGGGTACAGTGCAAAATTCTCAGCGGTCGCATATTCCCTTGCGGAATAAGCACCACAGGGAAAGCAATTCATCCGTGACTAACTAGAGCAGTTAGGGAAAGCATCAAATTAAAAGAAAAGGCTTATAAAACTGCCAAGAAAAGCGGCAAATCTGAAGATTGGGAGAGTTTTAGAAACCAGCAAAATAAAACTAAAAAACTCATTAAGAGCGAGAAAAAGGAGTATGAGGGTAAGCTAGCTAGGAACATTAAGTCTGATTGTAAAAGTTTTTACAAATATACTAAGAGGAATAGGCTAGTGAGGGTAAATGTAGGTCCACTTCAGTCAGAGATGGGAGAAGTTGTAATGGGGGACAAGGACATGGCAGAGTCCCTAAATGGGTACTTTGCATCTGTCTTCACCCGAGAAGACACAACAAGTCTGCCAACAATAGAGATGCACCAAAGGGATAAGGACAGGGAGCAACTTAGGGAAATTTTCATTAGTAGAGAATTGGTGCTAGGGAAACTGTTAGCACTAAAAAGTGACAAATCCCCTGGTCCGGATGGCCTGCATCCCAGGGTTTTAAAAGAGGTAGCTTATGAGATAGTGGAGGCCTTATCTTCCAAAATTCCTTGGATTCTGGAACAGTCTCCTTGTATTGGAAGATTGCAAATGTCACACCACTATTTAAAAAAGGTGGAAAGGAAAAAATGGGGAACTATAGGCCAGTTAGTCTCACATCAGTGATAGGAAAAAAATTAGAATCATTGATTAAGGATGTGGTAATGCGGTATTTAGGGGAGCACAATATAATTAGGCCAAGTCAACATGGCTTTACAAAAGGGAAGTCATGTTTGACAAATCTCATAGAGTTTTTTTTAAGATATTTCCAGTAAACTAGATAAGGGTGGATCAGTGGATGTGGTCTATTTGGACTTCCAGAAGGCATTCAATAAGGTGCCGCATAAAAGGTTAGTCCAAAAGATAAGGGCCCATGGAATTGGGGGAGCATAGTAACGTGGATTGGGGAATGGTTAACGGGTAGGAAACAAAGAGTAGGGATAAACGGGTCCTTTTCAGATTGGTGGGATGTGACGAGTGGAGTGCCACAAGGATCAGTCCCAACGATCTTGATGAGGACATCGAAGTTAATATATCTAAATTCGCGGATGACACAAAACCATGAGTCAACACAGAGGACGACATAAAAAAAATGCAGCGAGACATAGATAGGTTAGGTGATTGGGCAGGTAGGTGGCAGATGAAGTATAATGTAGGGAAGTGCGAAGTCATCCACCTAGGTAGCAAAAACAGTAGAGCGGGTTATTTTTTAGAAGGGGAGAGATTGGAATGTGTTAGCGTCCAGAGGGACTTGGGTGTCCTTGTACACCAATCACAGAAAGTTAGTCTGCAGGTGCAGCAGCAATTAGGAAGGCGAACGGTATGTTAGCATTCATTATGAAAGGATTAGAGTATAAGAGTAGGGAAGTCTTGCTGCAACTGTATAGGGCCCTGGTGAGACCACACCTGGAATACTGTGTGCAGTTTTGGTCTCCTTATTTAAGGAAGGATGTACTTGCCTTGGAGGGGGTGCAGCGTAGATTTACTAGGTTAGTACCAGGGATGAAGGGGATGAGTTACGAGGATAGGCTGACCAATTTGGGCCTATATTCTCTAGAATATAGAAGAATTAGAGGGGATCTTATAGAAACCTATAAGATCATCAAAGGGCATGATAGAGTAGATAGTGGGAGATTGTTTCCCCTGGTTGGAGAAACTAAAACCAGGGGTCACAACCTTAAAATCAGAGGCCAACCCTTTCGTACTGAGTTGAGGAAGAACTTCTTCACTCAAAGGGTGGTGAATGTATGGAACTTGCTACCCCAAAGGGCTGTTGACGCTCAGTCCTTGAACAATTTCAAGACTGAGATAGATTTCTTATTGCAAAAGGGATTAAGGGATATGGGGATAAGGCAGGGTCAGGTTATTAGCTGGAGTTAGATTAGAAGATCAGCCATGATTGAATGGCAGGGCAGGCTCGAAGGACCGAATGGCCTACTCCTGCTCCTACATGTTATGTTATAGCACCTTTCACATTGGGAGGACATTCCAAGGCACTGGGGGTTGGAATCAAGAGGGGGAGAGGGGCAAGGGGTATGGGGGTGGGAGGATGACCAAAGGCATGGTCACAGAGAAAGGTCCTGAGACGCGCCTTGAAGGATGCGAGGGAGGGGGCAAAGCGATGGAATTCCAGAGGGTGGAGGCAGGATGGCTGAATGCCTGACCGCCAATGGTGGGATGGGCAGGGCGGGGACATGTACCTGGCCAGCTGAGGGAACGAGAAGGTTGGAAAGGTGTTAGTAGGTTGCAGAGGTAGGGAGATGCAAGACCGTGGAGGGCTTTGAAAGTGAGAACGAGGATCTTAAACTCGATCGCCTGGGGGGTGGAGAGTCAGTGAAGCTGGGCGAGGATGGATATGAGCAACTCATGAAGCTTGGTGCAGGGAACAGTTAGGAAGTCCAAAGTACGTATAATGTTATAATTTTTCAAGTCTGA